AGCTATGCTGCACTCGAGACCCACTGGCTCATCAGACGAGCCTACTGCGCATTCCGAGTCACTGGCAGCATCGGAAGCCTGCAGATATCACATCGATGTCATCAAGTGCATTTCTCAATCAGTTGTCCAGCACATGCTGCCCATCGTACCATGGGTTTCTGCAGACCGCATCACGCACCAGCCCAGAATCACAATGCCCCCCAGCATGTTGGACTGGCATTCAGTCGAGAGAGCCCATCATTGCTGCATTGCATTTGCATGGATGATCCCGTGTCGCATGCTAGCAATGCTTTCTGTAGACCCGATAAGTCTGATATGGCGTACGTGTGCTGACAGTTGAGACATGCGCTAGCGTAGCGCCATCGAGGTTCACTCTTGAGATTGTAATTCTGGGCCTAGCGAACAATGGCCAGGTATGCCGGGCTGGCAATACATGTTTCATAGCTTTCAAGGGTCGGGCATTAGCGCATTCGTCCATTGTGACTCCGTCCTAAGACGGTAAGAAGAAGCGAAAGTGTTTCGCGCTCGTGAATAAGCAGATGTGATGCACTAAAAAGCAAGCCCCGCCGTTCGTGGAGAATCGTAAGGGTGTATGTACGTATTCAAGGCCGTTAGCTCCACTTGAGGGTCGTCACGAACCATTCAAGGGTCCAGGGGTTGGCTGGTGAAAGGTAGTGGTCAGGGCTAGATAATTCTCAGCCGGATGAACCGGCAAGTCATCACGTATTCGACATTCTTTAAACAGGAAGCGATACGAAGTCGACGTGATATCGGAAGTCGGACCTCTTCGCTTGGAGATGTCTGTGTAACGTGTCTAAGCCTCCCCAACATTAGCAGAGGCTGAGTACTCATTCTTCGCTCTTGAGAACCTTGTTCATTAAGGGGGGTGCTGGTGGCTAGTCGGACACTCGGAGGTTGAAGGGGCCGCGGCTCGGGAAATAACTTATTTGTCTCCTACAAATGAGACCTGTTTGTAGGTTCAGAAAAAGGGAGGTAAATCATTGCCTAAAGTGTATGCCGTGGGTGCATGCCTGACGGGAAAAGGAGAAGATGCAAAGGGCGGAAAGGGAGCAACAAAAATCAGATACGGAGTACTCCGTGCAAATATTCAAAAACAGCCGTCTTAGACCTGCATGCACTTGAAGAACTCATCAGCGTTGGCGTCATCTCGTTCCTGTCGGTTGACGTAAAGGCCTTTGCGCGGCTGTTTCATCTACCCTGCTGCGCATGTAGGCGGGAGTGACGACTGCTTGTCATGGTCATTTGGTGGCGGTTGAAAGGGGCCGCGTGAAAAAGGAACGAAAAAGGCCAAGACAGGATGCTTTTTGCGGATTGAAAAAGCAAAAGCGTGATGTATATGGGAGAGAAATGCAGGAGAAATAATCATCCTCCCGAAGTCCGGCCACGCCGTTTCATACGCTTTCATTTGGACAAGATCGACGAGGGGCGGTCCTAGAGCCGACAAGCGCCAGAGTTGGTGTTATGAGTGCTGATTTGAGTTGACTGATAATCGAGTTCTCAACTCCAAGAGCCACGCAATGGATACAGCCCCTGGCAAGCAGTCGCTCCTTACCGTTGAAGGTCCATACGTTGCTTTCGGCACGGCAGCTGCCATTCTCCGGCTCGGTTCGTAACATGGCAGCGTTAACTCCGTACACGCGAGATGGTCTGAGTGATTTACAGCATCGCCAAGCTCGCAGACCTTTTTTTTTGGAAGTCTTCAGCTGGCTTGGACTAATCGTAGAATCCTCAAGCTTCCCTCGATCACCCTCACAGCAGATAGTAGCTGGTATTATCTCTCAATTTCACCGAGTGAAAAACACACATGAATTCAAGGTTTAGTTAGGCTGGTGGGGACCGCCAGATTCCTGCCAAGGAAAGCTCAGACCGCATGATTATGATGTTGGTGGATCATCGCTAAGAGAGATAAGGTTGCCAGAGCTTAGGCCAAGCATGCCTTGCAAGGGAAAGCAATCCACTTGATGCAGATACTAATCTCGATTAGACAGACAAGGCGTACGGTTATGGCCTTGTAAGAAAGGCAGCACAGGGGTATTATTGTCTGCGTCCAGTTCTTTCTAGGCAGGGGAATCGTCGAACTTGGTAACAAAGACCATGAGCTTGTTTAGTTTCGGGTTCAGGAAAGCAACCCGCTTCAAGGGCAAGCAATGCATCGATAAATCTCTCGGAGCTGCGTCCGAGATAGTCAATATCCCCGCGTTATGGTTCTCGCAGAGCACGGAGACTATTGATTCCGACACCTGCCCGCGGAGAAAGCAGCAAGGGGGTGACCGTAAACGGAGCGGGCGTATTCAGGGGGAGGGTGCGAGATGAACAAGTGAAACACAAAAGAAAACAAAAAACACCAGGAGTAAGTTAGAAAGCCTGTTGCAAGCCCCTTTCGGCTCCCGTACCCGAAAGCCCTGAGTTTACTCAATTTTTGTGCTGTGCACTAGCATAAATAAAGCCTTTGCGACGCGAACCCAGCGTTGTGGTAACTCCATGCTAAGGAGGCAGCCAGGCTCGGGTCCACTTCCGTCGATCGCTGCCGTTCACCAATAAGGTACAATGAGCTCTGTCCATTGGTGCAGGGTTCAGCTCGTGAGAAATCCATAGTTCGCCATTATTTGCTGTAGTCATATCGGGCGCCGGGATTTGCGGCCAATTATAGAACTGCCAATTGCTTTTTTGCGGTCCACCTCAGCTCATTTCTCGCGTGATCCGTCGTAGAAATCCCCTTTTTGACCACCAGAATGGAATGAGGAGCCGTACTTTGAGGCGTACACGCACTGTCCGGCGGCAGCAAGCTAGGGTAGAACGAGGCTTAGCTTTGAAGACTCCCATTCCGGCGCAGCACAATCAATCGTGAAATTTCAGGAGCAACGCTTTGCCAGGGTCGTGATGTCAGCATGACTGGATTCCTTGACGAGGAGGAATGCAGAGAAAAAAAAAATCGGCAAGATCAAAGGTGATCAGTAGCCAAGACAGAAGACAGATAGTTCCGAATTTTCAGCCGACCGAAGAGAGGGCAAAGCTGAGAGTAACCAAGTCACAAAAACGGCGTAGGTTTTGCTCGTCGATGTTCTCTAACCTACAGGCATTGCGGCAGAAGTTAGTTTAACTGCGCCTGCACCCTGATTCATTGTCATCTGCCAAGTCGTGCCAAATGTACGTACGTACATACTTGTAGCCAATGCAATGATACCGTTATTATGTCGGAGGCACAGGGGCCGTTAGCTTACGACGTAGCTAATCGTGGCTGAATAAGGTTAAGGCCGAAAACAAGGTAGGAGTAAGGTGGGAGATGCAGCAGCGTGAGAGAGTCAGGGCCAAAAGGACTGACGTTGCCATCCCCTGGGGCAGTGCGTGATTACTCTGATGGGATCGACCCCGTTTTGACCGTATCGGTGGGTCACAGCCGATTCGCAGAGATCTCAATCCCTGGTCCCTTCTCACTTAGGTGCAAATCGTGTGATCCCTGGTCTAAGACCGCACTCGAGACCATGACATTGATAGTATCTGCCTCAGTACGGAGCGGTCCTTGGCTCCACAAGGCCTAGATCCATGACACAACTTTCTCAAGCGGGGTGCGAGGATCGCATGTCGAGGTTTCAGCCCTTCCGGACCCCCTGCCCGGATGTCTTTGACAGCCAATAACAAGCGTCGTTGACTGGCCGTCATGACCAGCATAGCATCTGAGTATGCATGCTGAATGATCATTCACTCCCTCATTCGGTTCATGTGTCCGATATGCGCCATGCTGACGACCGTTCATAGGTTCCCCGGAGTACGCCTATCGAGCTCAGCCATGCAGAATCCGACTCATGCGTCTATCCTCCCTAAGCTGACTCGGTAATCATTTCCCTAGACGCTGGGGACAACCCGAGCTCTCCCTGTTTTACTTCGTCTGGTTGGACGCAGCAGCTCGACAGATCTCGATCGAAAACTTTAGCTACCATTCGTGGCACATAGGGAGCGACACAAACGGTAACTCCGGGCCCTTCCTTGAACTCCCAGGCCGTTCAAAACCGGTTTGCCTTGCTCGTGGTGAAATCACAAGTCGGTTGCAAGAGACGAACCGAAGATCTGTATCTTCCTATGTCACACAAGTTACGTTGCAAGGCCTCCTCTTTCCATCTTCACGCGACTTTTGTGGCTGTAATCTCACCACTTTCGGTCCCGGGCCGTTGTATCCCAGTTTGCGTCAAAGCCATCCTGGTCTATTTTTGTTTCACATTCTCTGTTTCACTCGTCAGCGTCAGTAAAGCTTGATGCTTGGTGGTAGTCTCGTCGGGTATATAAAGGCAGATTTCAACCGTCCTTGCTTGATATCGTCAGCATCAGCAAACCCCACAGACCTACCTCTACCGCAACACTTATAGCCACACATCACAGTTCATTGACTGGACAATTTTCCTCGCCTTGAGTGCCTGCAAACTATTCCAAGATATCCTTATGCTGCGGTCTTCCATATCTCACATCTGTTACCGCCGAGATCAACCCTGTATCAAACCATCAGCAATGTCTTCCGAACACAAGCAAACACAAAAGTTAGTCATTCATGTCACTCTTGTTGCTCTGCCCATGCTGACAGCTGTCAATAGAACTGGCAACGGAGTCAGCAACAGTCTCAGCGCTGATAATCTGCGCCGCATTCCGGATGGCACCAGCGGAGGTATAGTGGAGCGCTTCACGCAGTCCCCAGCAGCGGATGAGCCATACTTTGCGCGAGCACGAATGCATGATCGCTCCGAGCACGCGTCACGGCTCTCGAGCCAGCTCGAAGCGACAGAAAAGATTCTGGGGAAACGATAGAGATGCTTGATCGCAGGTCACAGTATGATGCGAATATTTGAAACGTGAGAAAGTATGAATAGCAGGAAGATTTGTCTATGTACAGAGTCTATTAGAGATCTTGTTCATCGCAGGGCGCTGCCGAACAGCATATATCGGGAAGATGAGAGAGACATGTCGGGGTCATCATAATAGGGCCATTCCTCTCAGATATTTCCATTTGTCGAAGCATTGAGCTGCAGAAATTCCATCATGTATTGAGCCACATCATCGTACTTTGTGCTTGGAAACTCATGGCCCGCATCGTATGACTTAAAGCTCGCGAGGCCTTGTAGTGCTGCAGTGGCATCGGGCACGAGATCGTCTTTCACAATGACTGCGTCGTGCTCACCATACATGATGAGAACCTTGTCATGGGGAAGACCGGGAATCGCATCCGAGCCGGCCTTCTTCCCCGCGGCAAGCCAGTCTCCCAGCTGCTTCCATACTTTCAGTTGGCGCTGCTGCAGAATGGGCCCAAAACGCATGCTGGACATGAAAGCATGCACAAAACCGGGATGCTCATCCACCTGCCACTTGACTGTGCTGGGGACATTCACATGTGGGTAAGCCCGAGACAATCGCTGCACCTCCGTCGCACCTTGATTGGGAAGTTCTTCGACCAACGCATCTTCTGCGCTGAGCTTCTTGTTCGCAGGCTTGGATGTCAACGGACCTGCGCGTAGGCGACGGCGGACGAAGAACTTCAGTAGTTTCTCTGGTATCCAGTCGTGCGAGTAGAGAAGCTGAGATTGGAAGCTGATCCGAGAATCACGAATCAAACCAGCAGGCGCAAGGAGAACCAGCGAGGAAATAGCCTGAGGATGGAAAGCCGCAAAATTCGCCGCGATACCGCCGCCGAGTGAGTAGCCGACCAGGCAGAGATCCCCAGGCTTCTTGAAGATAGGCGACGAGTTGATGGCAGACCAAATCTGTCGATTCCACAACGTGCCGTCCTGTGGCAGATCCGAGGGACAATCGGAATAGCCTCTTCCGAAACTAGAGGCTCCTGTTAGTAATCCTTATTGTGGCGCCGTTCGGCAGTTCACCTACAGATCGAAAAGCATTACACGGCACCCTCGATCGACCAGGGCATGGGCTAACCCGCCTAATGCAATACAAGGGGTCGTAATGCCGTGGATCAGAAGGACCCTGGGGCCATCCTCCGGGCCCCACTCATATACACGCATTGAGCCACCAAAGCTGGTGGGAACATCCCGGGCCCCGGGAAGAACATCGATAGGCAGAGGAGTTTCACGGTTTTCCGCATCCGACAAGGCCTTAACCTTGTCCAGAGGGGAACGATAGACATTCCCCTCCGGCTGAGAGTCCGATAGAAACGAGCGCAGGATAAAAGCCGCAGTCAACGAGGCCCCTGTCGCGGCCAGGAGGGGAAGTTGACTGCGGTGGCTTGCCAAGAAATCGGAGAGTGAGTCGACGGTCTGATTGTACCAAGCCATGTCTCTTGTCTATGAATGATGTCTATGATATAATGCAAAACTACAAGAAAGAAGAATGCAAGGGGTGGCTAAAAGTGAATAAAGAAATGCAGGCTGAATAGAATGGAAATCGAGCAACAACAAGAAGGTAAGAAGTTGGCAGACATCAAGGATGTGGTGGATGGTGGATGTTAACCACTTGTTGACCTCGAGCTGACTATTCCTCTTCGGGCCAAAGGATTGTCACCGGGACTCCGATAAGAGATAAGCCAAGTCATGTGCCATCCACAGCCGAGGCTTCTTCCACCGGCATCAAACAGCAGTCAATGTCCCTTCATGATCATTAGAGCAGACAAGTCTCTACGGAATACTCAATCAGGCTATCTTGAGAAGAAGAAGCAGTAGTCTTTGTTCTTACCTGAAAGATGTCATGCGAGATATCTTCTCGTTAGTATTCGTCGACTCACACATCATCGATAATATTTATCCTCATACCGAAGCGTAGGTATCCTAGCCAAGAAACATCTAGAGGCTGAATCGGACGACAGGGATGGCTCAATGCCGAGAAATCACCAAATAACTCCAGGCAGTCATAACTTAGGAAAGAAGAAAATCATGTGGAGGATAGATACCCGGACCGACAATATTATTTCAGCACCCCAGTCCCGAGAATATCCATGCACAGTACCATGAGGGTACACCATCCTAGTCAACATGTGAGGTATCAACATTCGCCAAGGCCTTCTTTCTGTCCATGCGCGTGGGTAAGACCAATTCGCCAAGGTTTAAAAGTCATGAGATCCGAGGGCTCTGTGCATGAGGATGTACACCAGCTTGGCAACACGCACAGCAACAGGCAACAAAGACATTGCCGAAGAAGCGCTCCCCATAGAGAATAAGACCAGTCAGCAGCAGCCTCAACAAATTCCCGTCTCGACAAAAACGCGGAGATTACCTCCGTGTACTCCTGAAAAGGGCATTCCCGGCTAAATGGAGATAACTACCCACTTGAACTGGACAGCCGTTAGACGGCTTCTAGCCATAACCGGGAAGCGATCTGCAAGGTACAGCGCCATGGCTTATGCCGGCTCCATCAGACGATGAACTCAGTAGCACCCCTACCTTTTGGCTTGATATACCGAGAAAAATATGTCCTTCTGCCTCGAAACTCCCCCACATTCGCTGCTGTCAAAAATGAGCTTTGAATGAGATCAGGAAATGAAGGGATGAAAGCGGCTACAGAAACAAGTTGTTGTCTGCTGGTTCTCCGACATAGAGCGATGTATCATACCGCCATGAAACATCAAAGTGTCTGAGATGCCAACCCGCAGCCGCCCCTCTTGTCTATTGTGGGGAAACCTTGAAGCGAGTTAAGTGAGATGAGGTGGAATGAGGAGGGGTCCAATTAGAATCGATGCTCCTATCGGCTTTGATCGGAGCCAAAGGCGCCCCCCGTTCAGCCACCTGCAAGACGGATGCTATGCTCAAGCCAGAGGTCGAGGTCATTGATGGAATCTAGTTCCCCGCACTCCGACGATTGACAAGGTCAAAGTGAATCCTGAACATATTGAATTAATTAATTAGGGTCACCGATGCATGAGGGACCGGTCGACGCCCAACCAACGCCACATCTGCCACATCTGCCACATCGCCGTTCGCATAATGATTAATCGAACATCAACCCAATCATTTTGATGACAACCAGGATACAATTGAGACAGTCACCTCGACTCATAGTCCTGCTATCGAGCCATTACAACTTACCTCAGATTGAAGCTTTCTACTTATGTTTCACGGGAAACAAAAACGATCGCTTCTTTCAGTAGAGTGCTGTGCTCAAAGTGAAACTAACCTGAGACTAAACCCGCTCCAGAGACGAAGAATCAGGGTATCAATCTTTCTGGCATGACACTCCGCACCCGATGCGGCCTGAACAGCTAGCCAGCTTGTATAGCAGGATCGAACTCGCAGAACCAGGACATTGCAGGTGACTGAAATAGCTCGGAGTAATCTCCGGCATTGCAATCTTGAAACCCTGTGGATCAAGAAGCCCAGGACTAAGTCAATTGAATTCATCAGCACACGGTACTTGCCGCCTTGGATCCACTTTCCGGACATGGCGAGGCGCTCACTGCCTTTCTATGGGACGGAGGTAGTTCTTGCTGCACGAAATAGGAAAGCAACTATATTCCGAAACATTCTCTCGACGGTATAGCGGTCCGTTGTACCGTTGCGAGACAGATTTGGCATTCAGTACCATTCAAGGACGATGGCTTCGAGCGATCAATAGAGGTATAAAGGGCAAGAAGTTTCCAGTCAAGTCAGTCCAACATCTCTGCAGGACAGACAATCAAGCACAAACAACAACCGACTCAGCGAAGTATCCAAGAACAATGTATCAACGCGCCTTGCTCTTCTCTGCGCTCTGGAGCGCCGCTCGCGCTCAACAGGCCGGAACCTCGACTGCTGAGACTCATCCTGCTTTGACCTGGCAGAAGTGTACTGCTGCTGGCAGCTGCACAGAGCAGAGTGCTTCCGTGGTCATTGATTCCAATTGGCGCTGGGTTCACTCTGTGGAGGGCTACACAAACTGCTACACTGGGAACACTGTAAGTCGTGTGAAAGCACCCGCTCTGTTGCAGCAATTGACTGACACGCTCCGCAGTGGGATGCCACTTTGTGCCCCGATGATGAGACCTGTGCTTCGAACTGTGCTCTGGATGGCGCCGACTATGAAGGCACCTACGGAGTCACCACCAGCGGTGATGCGTTGACGCTCAAGTTCGTCACCGGGTCCAATGTCGGCTCGCGTCTCTACCTCATGGACACCAGCGATGAGAAGTATCAGACATTCGACCTCTTGGACGCCGAGTTTACCTTCGATGTCGACGTGTCCAATCTCCCTTGTGGACTGAACGGAGCCTTGTACTTCACCGCCATGGACGCCGACGGTGGAGTGTCCCGATTCCCGGCCAACAAAGCCGGTGCCAAATACGGAACAGGATACTGCGATTCCCAGTGCCCGCGGGATCTGAAATTCATTGACGGACAGGTCAGTATTAGTTACCCACTGGACTACCACCTCAAACCGAGCTGACGTTAGATAAACCAGGCAAACGTGGAAGGTTGGACCCCCTCGACCAGCAACTCCAACTCCGGGGTCGGCAACCACGGCTCCTGCTGCCCGGAGATGGACATCTGGGAAGCGAACAAGATCTCAACTGCATTCACTCCGCACCCCTGCGACTCAGTCACCCAGGTAATGTGCGAGGGCGACGCCTGCGGCGGAACCTACTCCTCCAGCCGTTACGCGGGCACCTGCGACCCGGACGGCTGCGACTTCAACACCTACCGCATGGGCAACAAGACCTTCTTCGGCCCCGGGAAGACCGTCGACTCTAACTCGAAGATGACGGTCGTCACCCAATTTATCAAGGGCAGCTCCGGCTCCCTGTCCGAGATCCGCCGCTACTACGTGCAGAACGGCATCGTGATTGCCAACGCCGCGTCCGACATCAGTGGCGTCTCCGGCAACTCGATCACCTCCGACTTCTGCACGGCCCAGAAGACGGCCTTTGGGGACGAGGACATCTTCGGCGACCACGATGGCCTCACCAAGATGGGCGACGCCCTGTCATCCATGGTCCTCATCATGAGCTTGTGGGATGACTCCTACTCCAGCATGGAGTGGCTGGATAGCCACTACCCCACCAACGCGACGGTGACCGACCCCGGTGTTGCCCGCGGCACTTGCGAGACCGGCGAGGGTGACCCCAAGACGGTTGAGGCGGCGCACCCCGACGCTTCCGTCACCTTCTCCAACATCAAGTTCGGCCCGATCAACTCGACCTTCAGCGCTTAGATGGCGGACTCGTTGAGTCGAGTGTCGAGGGAGCTCCGCGGCGAACACATCAGGGCCGGCTCCTGATGTGAGGAAAAACAGTCCTACTTCTGGCCGACGAGATTGCCGCCCAGTACATGGCCAATTTTACATCTTCTTTTCGGCTTCTCCGTTCGTTTTCTGTTTTCTGTTCTTCCATGACTTTTCTGAATTTGATCTTCCCTTGGATTCTGTATATACATCAATGGAAAAAGAATTATCCCGGGTATAAGACCAAGGCCAAGTCGAATCAAAGCGTCTAGCAGGAGGGTTTCGGGCAGGAACCTTGCTCAGAAGATCATCATAGTCCGCATCCTGTCACGATAACTCACAGTAGTCTGCTTGCGAAATGACTATTATTTTGATATGTGCGGCAGGATGACATGAATACTCAAAACGGAGCCCAAATTTTAATTGAACTTCTCTCTTTGACTCGAATTTGTATGATTGTCTGTACTGTTGGGGGCTTGGTCATACTGGATTAGAAGTGTGGACTGGGGACAATGGCGTAGACTGACCGGTCAGTTGGCACTATCAGAAGCAATTAAATCCGTGATTCACAATAGAGCTCTTTACCCATTCGAGCCTGGGCTGCTAGTCTCTTGGAGTTAGTGAATATCAATCCAACCTGTTGACTCCTATAGAGCGTTGCCTTGAAGTCAGAGACTGGACTAGAAGCGAATACACTTACCCAGAAGCAAGAAGCTGTCTCGATACCTAACGTCTTGTCCCGTGCCAATGCGCCTGCATCAACACGAAGGCGGCGGTTGCGCGCGATAAGCGGCTTATCAGCCGTCAAGCTACCGGAAGATTGACCGGAAGATCGGTCGGCCCGCCCCCATCAAAAGTCGGAGCTTGCGGCCGGCACCAGAGACAAATCTACTTGGAGGTAGCTCTTTGAAAAAGTCATAAAAGAAAGTCTATACGAGTGGGATAAATCAGGTCCATTGCCTCAATTGCCGACCCGTCCGCACAAAAAAAATGTTCGACACGGTCTGTACCTTGCCGCTGTCGGCGGATCTGTTCTCGCAGGCCATCCACCCAAATGAACCCATCGTCTCCGTTGGTCTTGCTACGGGCCATGTCCAGACCTACCGACTCCCCTCCGAGGAGGCGGACAGCGATGATGACGGGGCCTCGA